GGGGTACCCCACAGTCGTAGCACGATGGGGATGTCCATGCCGCCGGCGGATGTACCACGTGTGGACCACCCTCAAACCAAAACTTGATGACAACGAAAGCCTTCGATGCTCCGAATATTGCGGTTCCTTGTGCTCCAAGGGACCTCGGGAGGTTGTGACGCCCAACCTCACGCCCAGTGTGACTTCCTGATCGGAGTGGGATGGGGGCCCAGAAGTGCAAAAAGGGGGTGTGTCAAGGATTTGGCTTTCATGCTACTTCCATCGATAGGAGGAACAAAGTCGGAATGAATCTAACGTTAGACCATGGAATTATACATTGCCATTTTTTTTTTTGTTGCTTTCCCCATCGTGTTGTCGTTTTCCATCATGTACCACGCAGCCTCATTTCTAACTAACTCCCTATTCTCTAACTAAATGCCGAAACTAATGTTACCATTCGTTTCGCCCGGGGCCAAAACCCCGGGATTGCATCTTTCGCCTCTTGATTTCGTTCTGAATCGAGAGCGCTACGTTCTCTTAAATGCGCCCGACCCGTTCCCCCATAGCTGCACTGCCCACTCTGCTATCTCTTCCTTCCTCCTGTTCTACCAGCTTATCGACCGAACTTACCTTACCACTCACTTCGTCATATCCGAAAACCTTGGTTTCGGATCCTCCCTCACTCAAATCCATTCACAAACGAGAAAGGTATACTTGTTTTCCCCTTCTTTTTTCCTCTTCCACCAGGGCTCCGCGCAAGCACTTTCTCCTCTACCACCTCAGACACTAACTTATCTCCAAAACTAAACTCAGGATCAGATTCGCCCGGGCTTAAAAGCCCAAAATTGATCTTTTACTTGCTCGATTCTGCTAAGAGTTGAGCGAGTTGGGCACATCCGGCTGCGCCCTGCCCCACGCCCGCCATAACTTGTTCCGTTTTTACACGAATCTTCCCGAGATCACGTCCGGGTTCGTCCGCTCCTCGACTTTCCCCTCGTTGTCTTGGCACATCTTCACTCCCCGGTGCCCCGCTTTTCCACACTATAGCTCCGCCCGCCTCACGATCCTAGTACAAGCAACCTCCCCTCCTTCGCTTTTCGAATGTATCGGGCGCAAAATCAGTGCCGGATTCACCCCACCGATTCCACCACTCCGTCGGCTCTGATCCCTGCTGCCCATTGCCTCCGCTCTCCCCTACTCCTCTACCCCGCCTCTGCAGCCACCCATCTCGTTTCCTCGGGCGCGCAGATCCCAGTAGTAGTAGGCCCCCACGGTGAGCAGCAATATGTTCGCCAGCTCTAGCTATCTCGTGGGAAACCTCGGAGGAACCGGATAGTCCGATCACCGATCAGTGCCTCCCCTTAGTTCCCCTCCCCTATGCCAATCGTCGCTCGCCTGCCTTTCCTTCCCACCGTTCGTCGCCTTGCCCCTCGCGTTCCCGACACTAGATGGACTGCGTTGATGTCATCCCGGCCTTTCCCGACACCGCGCAGTTTGACAGCGCTCGACCACAGCAAAGGCAGTCGGCGGTCGGACCTTGCAACGAGTTATACACTTCGTCCTTGCGCAGCGGCCATGCAAATTTTTCCCATATCTTTCCAATTTTTACGGATGTCTCGAAGGACCTGGCCGGGGTAATGCCCCGTGGCGGTACCAGACGCCGCTCAGCCCTCTCTACCACCCCCCAATTTTTACGGATGTCTCGAAGGACCTGGCCGGGGTAATGCCCCGTGGCGGTACCAGAGGCCGCTCAGCCCTCTCTACCACCCCCCCCCCCCAAACCGGCTAGTGGGATAGGGTGAGGGCATCGTCCCCCTTTTACACGCACCCTGCCTCGCCGGCATTCGGGTTCATTCCCGGATTTTATTTTTTTTTCCCGTGTCACCCCTGCGCAGTCGTCGTGCGAACCCTCCCTATATCGTTCCTATTCTTACGGATGCCCCGAAGGACTCTGCCGGGGTAGCGCCTCTCCGTCCTTCGACGTCCGAACTACCCCGACACTCTGGGATAGTCGACTTTTACCCACCGTCTCCCAGCATCGGGCCCCGAGCACGAGTTCGAATTTCACCAATTCAGGGGTGTACCCACTGCCCCACCCCATGGGTCCGCACCTAGAACCGACACCGGGACCCTAATCGGGTCTAAAATACAGGACGCGGGCGACAAAAATGAGTAAATAAAAAGATTTTAAAACAAAAGCCCAGGATAATATTTGAGGGAACCACCGGAAACAAAAGGCGGGGCCTACCCGGGACTCCCCTGGTTCCGCAAGACGGGCCCTCGACCGGACTCCCCCGACAAAACCAAGGGGGATAGTCCATGGGACCCTCAACCCCTCAGCCCCTCCAATGCTCCTTTGCTCCCGCGCCGACGCCCGCTGGCCTCGACCCCGTGCCTCCGTAGCAAAAGTCCAATGCCGTAACCTATAGGGCTAAGCCAACACCTAAGACAACTAGGCGCAGATTTCAATATAAAGTGGTACCATGCGGTGCCCAGGCCTGGGAAGAACAGCCTAGGCCCCCTTTTCCGCCTACAACCAGCAGGCCACCGCTAGGCACCCGTGTCGGCTTACCTAGACCGCGCCGTGGCTGCCCCGCGCGCCATCCTGTGCACCAGTCCTACCGCCGGTCGCGCGTGCCAATCGAAAATGAACTTTTATTCCTTAATCAAATCCGTAACAAGATCCGGGTCGGTCGACTAGACCGGCCGCCCACTCAATCAGAAAAGATCACACGCGCGCGTTAAAACTGCGCACCCACATACCACCTGACTTAGCCAAGGCCGATCCCGGACCCGGTAGTGCCTCACGTGGCTTATTTTGACCAAACCCATTTTTCCTATCATCTGCAAAAACCATGGCGGGGTATTCCCGTCGACAGCGGGTATCCCAAGGCAACGTACTGATCGAGCGGGCTGAGCTCCTCTGCTTCCTCAACAGGGGCTATCGTACTTCCTCCATTTTTGATTTCCCTTAGCATCGTTCCCACCCTTCCTGGCCCATTTGCCATTACTGCAGCGGCCACCGGGGCAGCTTCGACTCGTGGTTGTGCGGGTCGGTGAGGACAGTCTCGAGCTATGTGGCCCGGCTGATGGCATGTGTAACAGACACTTAAGTTAGTTGCGGCTCCGCCCATAGCCTGGGCGGGCGGAACCGCTGCTTGCGCAATGGGTGCAACTCTAGCAGCGATGGGGTGCATCGATCTCATCAGAGATTCTATCTGGGCATTGTGTTCGCGCTGTTCCTTCTTGCTTTCTTGCATGAAGTTAACTAACATGCAGGTTAGTTCAAGCATCGCAGTATTTTCGTTTGTCCTATTCGGAACTTCGTGGGAAGACACAAGGGCCGTGAAATGTGAAAGACAGATGGTAGTGGGATTTGGATGTCTGTGCCTCACCCGTTCATGAGGTATGACTGGCTTAAGTCGGCGCATAAAGAGACTGCAACTCACTTCGCCGTACGGATTACGGAGGCGGCGATTGACAAGAATGAATGGTATTGGTCCAATATTCGTGACGATGTCAAATTCATCGTCCGAAATTGTCTGGTCTGCGCCGCTGACAAAGCGCCGATTCAGCCACCTAGGTCGATAGTTCCCACCATAGTCGAACGACCATTTGAGAGGGTTAGCATGGATACCACAGATATTGTCGTACCTCCCTAGACCGAATAGCTATGAATATGCAATACTGTTGGTATTCGTGGACCAAAGTGGATCGAGACCGTCACGTATCCTTGCAAAACGCGATAGGCGGCGGAAATCGCGCGATATGTAAACCGTTTTCTCAGAATGCACCAAGACACGAAAGAGATCCTAACAGACAACGGGGCACAATTCAGAGGAGAGGTTTTGAGGAACCTAGTCCTACACGACGTCTCTATCCGCAATACCACTCCCCACATGTTGCAATTCAATGGGTTGGTAGAAAACGCCAACCGAGTGATCAAGACAACACTGCGACGAAATATCGCGGCAAATGACACGAGGCCTTGGCCCGATATCGTAGATCATATCCTGGCTTTCACCGAGGGACACCCCACGAGTCTACCGGTCTGACGGACTCTGACCTCTCTCAATTACGGACTAAGAGCTTACCATGTGTAGTCCTACCGAGCCTAAATGATGAAGCAACCCTTCCGCGACGGACCACTACGGCGATGGTTAAGGACAAGGCCCAACTGATAAAAAGGGTCTTCCCCAGTTAGCTAGAAAGAGACAGCGAATGACGGAAATGGCCCACGGACGACAGGTTCGAAGCTATGAGGCCCGAAATGGGAACGCTGGCCTCGGCCCCAATATAAATTAGGGGACATGGTGCAGGTGAGGAAATGTGCTCGTCAAGGTAAGTTAGAGCCACGATTCTTCAGGCGGTTTCACATAGTCGAGCTTGGTCCGAGCGGAGTGAACACGGTGCGACTCGCGCCAGAGGTGTGGGGAAGCCGTCCACTCGCCCGATCGTTTGACACGTGTCCTACCATCGACCTCTCCCCTCTTCTTTTTCTCTCTCATCACCTGCATCGTCCCTCGTTCGCAAAGAGGACGACGACGATCTCGAATCCTCCTTCTCCTCCCAGCCTTCGTCTCTGCCTTCGCCTCCATCGCCATGAGCTTTTCGACTGAGCAGGTGATCGGCGAGTGACTGAAGACACCGAGGGGCCGCATAACGGCGATACAACAAGTGAAGCGACCCCGACTGAGTCCCGATCTACTTCGATTTGCGGCCTTTTTCAGTACGGAGGCCATCCGCGCAGCAACAAAGTTCCGTTTTGTGCATGCAGGAGCGACGCGTGTACTGACCGAGATATCTGCTTTCCAGCGCCTGTCTCCGCCCGACGTCACCCACGTGTTCGTGATCGTCACCTTCATGGGCGATATCACCACGGCGCACCCAGCGGTGCATACTAACATCTACCGGCAGGTGAGAAGTTGGGCCAGAGAGATCACAGCCGCGTGGACCAAATTGTTGGCATGACTAGGCGAGAGGATTGTGACCTCGAATGACGTGGACATCCAGCTTCGCGCCTCTAGCAGCGCGCCGGAGGTCCTTCTCCCGAAACCTCTTCCCTTCGTACCACCTCAATGAACCATCGCCGCCTCTCGCTCTTCAGTATCCCTTTTAATCTCTCCATCTTCAGGCAATCTGCCATCGACGTCTTTCTGTCTTTCCGGATCCAGGAGTTAAGCATGCCGACTTTGGACAACGTCAAGTGGATGGAGTGGTGGCACGCCTATGCGGCGCTCAACTTCTGCCTCCTGGAAGTAGTGTCTCATTGGGCAGAGCCGGCAAACGTGGACGAGGGAGACGGGATCCTCGACGACGAGGTGGAATTGTTGATCGCGCAGGCCTCGCGGACCGATACGGGAGGGGAGCTGATGGGGATATTGTTCGGTAAAGTGGAAGACGATCATCTGGTCGCGATCACGGATGAACTGCTCGTGTTCTTGACGCGGTTGGTGGATGATCTGCCTCTCGATATCCTGTCGCGGTGTGACGAGAAACTGGGAACAGACACACTCACCCGTACGCTTGCGCTGCACCTATTGTGGTCCACGTGTACGGAGATGGACGAAGATAATTGTGTCTATCCTTCCCAGGGCCTCTACCTGGTGATCGACGTCACCGATCTCACGTTGTGGGACCCTTTCATTTGGCGGGGAAACATAAAAGAAGCTAGCGAGGAGGAAGAAGAAGCCGAAGAAGAAGAAGAAGAAGAAGAAGAAGAAGAAGAAGAAGAAGAAGAAGAAGAATCAGACGCCGAGTCGGACGATCCCGATTATCTCGGGAAAGAAGACGTTGAGTCGGAGGACAAAGAGGACGGATCGGGCGAGTCGGGTGGTTCTGCCGGGCGAGGTAGAGAAGAGGAAGAGGCCGCGACACAAAGGAGGCGAGAAAAGGCAGAGGGTAAGCGTCCGATCAAGGAGTCGGAAGCGCTGCCACCGCAACTACTGCAGGGCGATCTGTCGCGAAATCCAGAGCCGCCGCGGGAGGAGACCGAGGGAGATGGAGTCGCCACCGCAAAGGGATCGGGAAGCCGACGTCATCGAAGAAGTGAATCGTCGGCTCAATCCTCTTCACCATCGCGGACCGCCCTTCGCCCTCGTCGAGATGCGGGCAATCGGGCTTCGTCCCCGGTCATTATCCCGTCGTCCCCGTTATTTTCTCACCCTTCACCAGCTCCTAGGCCGACCCCCGTTCTGTGATAGATGGTATCCCTTTCCACCCTCCCTCTTCCATCAACTATATTCCACCCGCTTCCTGATCATTGTGTTTCCGCACGCCACTACTTGCTCCCTTGCCGCTTCCTTCCCCCTCCACGTCCTTCTTTCTAGTGTCGCATGACTGGAGTTCAATAATATAGAACTTTATTGCATGATCTCAGGCGCCATCCCCACCTGCAAGAATTACGAGGACTTTCGCGCCGCAATCCCCCGCACCCTTTGCACCCTCTACCCCGATTATCTTGCCTCCCTCCGCCATCAAGAACAGCGATTCCCCCTCATCCACCGGACCACTCACTACATGCCAATCCCTGACGGTGATGCGAGCTCCACTCGTCATTAGATTGCTCTTCCCCGATGATGTTTAGGATCGAACGCACGTATGCCACGTTGGATGACTTCCACACTCTGATCTCATGGTAAGTGGCACATGCACGTGCACGCTCTGCGTCGATCATCAGACCATAGATCGGCGCATGATGGGAGCGCAAGCAGGAACTTGCTCAAGATTGGAACCCCCTGGTGTCACATATGTGACGAACTCGGAACTACTTCCTGAAACCGCACGACTTTCTGCGCGAAGTTGATTCGGGGATTGAGACGGTCCGGCCGGACGAAGTGTGAGGATGGGTCGACAGGGCAAGTTGCATGGATACCCTCGCTTCTTTCTGTTTGGATTTTCGAGACGAGGGTCGGAAAGGCCCCGCGCAGAGGGTTGAGAGGGCGCGCCTTAGTGCGCGCAATAAATAACTGTTGCCATAGCTTCTTTCTTGTTCTGCTTGGGGAAGGAATGAGAATTTTGGCGAGATCTACGAGCCGGAAGTCATTTTTAAATTTTTGCAACTGATGTCGAGCCCCCGTTGACTCTCGGAATTATTTTTGTCTTTCAAAATTTTCTTTTCGCAAAATAAGACTTAGATACGAATTTAGAAACCTTGAAATTTCATTGCACTGCACTTCTTGCTTATGCGGCAGGAGCAGAGCTTTGACTGGACCGCGCCCTTAATCTTGCGTGTAATTGTAATTTTTTTCGGGCACGATTGTAACTGTACTTCGTCTTCTTGATTCCCTCGTGTTTCCCCGCTCTTTCTCTCTCTGTCGTGCACACCTCGTCCTCAGTTATAATTGGCCTAAGCGACTACATGACCAAATCGATGCGTGGAGTGTGGTTACGTCCCCCACGCCGCGGCCTGGCCATGCAGGCATAGGCACTTCCTTCTCATCCCCTTCGTTACACTTAGGCATAATCCTGTTTTTTTCTCGCAAGCATGCATGCTATATATTTCGCAGGCACGATTAGTTCGCTCTCTCTGAATTTCGAGGTTAGCGCGATTAGTGAGGGTCGGCTAACGAGCAAGTCGGAAGGTGAGTAGACGAGTGAGTTGGGCGATCCGACGAGCTAATGCTGAGTATGCATGGTTGACGTGCGGGCCGCGACGGACTTTGGCGCACAAGCGAAGCTGGCTTGCATGCTCGGACCAAGCGGGGTGACAACTCTGTGTAAATGCGAGACGACGGACTGCATGCATCGGAGGTGGTGTGAAAGAGAGAAAGAGAGAGCAGAGGTGTACAGGATTGTGCCTTCTTTCTATTTCTTGTATAAAATTTTGACATCCGCGGAAGCCATCTTTCTACTTTTATTCGGACTTCTCTTTTTCGGCACTCGATGTATGATCTGGTCTATCCCCCCTCGTTTTCTGCCTTTTCGCTGTAAATTGGGTTGGTTCTGTTCGATCTCCGCAAATTCACCGGCTTGATAAGGATGATTATCGTATGTCGTTTTTCTTATTAATTGATGGATTTCGATGAATGCCTGCTCGTCGATTCCTTGATGGGGAAAGTCGCTCGGACTCATGGATGGATGTCAGATGTTTGCATGGATGTTTGAATTAACGAGCGACTGTTCCAACTCCCATCTTTCTTGTCTGCGTGAGCTAAAATTGGATCCGTAGGTAGTGGGACTTGTAATTTCTCTCGACAGAGTCGACACATATGGAAAACACCGAATTTTTGGCCTTCGCATTAACCATCTCTCGATCCGGGTGGACGGGCATTAAGAGATCGATAACCAAACAAGGAGAATGAAGTTAGGCGGGCACGCGGGGCAATTTGAGGCGCAACCGTCCGACTCAAGTCCATCAGGCGGAGAGCATGATCTTGTGTACGCACGTGTAAGCCCGACTGAAGGGGAGGCTGCCTACACGCGTGTCTGCAAGATCGACTTTCGGAATTATATATGTCTGCACTTATGTCTTTCTTTAAAGCATGAATGTCGAAATTCCCCTTCATGTCGCAGATCAGGAAAGTCTGAGGCACCGACGATTCCGAGAGGACTAGGAGCGAGAACGTGGTTGTATTTCCACGCGGCCCAGATCCCACCCTCTGGAATTTCTTTATCAAAGGGGAAACGAACGTGTATGTGAATGGGGCATTTAACGGGCGTTGGGAGCAATTCCTTTTCCACCCTAATTCCCCCACTCGCAGACACGCCACCGTCGCCACGTCATTGCCGAACCTGGTGCTGTCATTGTCGAGACAAACTTCCCTCCTTATCGACTAATATTGCCATTTCGTTGTTTGGCGGTTGCCCCGTGGCACGCGATCAGTCATTACTGGCCTCGGACCCCGAGCTCTGAATGTCCGCAAGACAGTGAGTACCGAGCCGCGGGATTTATCCAACATACCTGGACAGAGGCTGAGCGACGAATGCATGGCCTCTGTCTGAGACCAGCGGGGTAGAGGCAAGTGGAAGAGGAGGCACGTACCTGGTCTCCTCCGCGAGGGAGATTCGATCTCGGTCTGCCCGTGCGAGGAGCCCGACGTAAGTAGGAGCCGAGCCGCGATGAAAGAGCGGGTGCGCCCACCCAGGTTCCAGCGGAAGATTCATCCGATTGTGCTCGTCTTAGCGACGGGAAGGTCGTGAAGTTAGCCACGGCGTAGAAGACTTACCTGTTGGCTGGTGCGTATCCGTTCCGACCACGTTGAGCTGGTTAAGAAGACGTTCTGTTTTGGCTCGAATGGCGACCAAATACATAGGAACGGAGGAGCTGAATAACGGGCCACGACGCCAAGTCATCAGGCATGTATTTGCACGCACAGAAGAAACGTTGACACATACACGATTGGAGAGTAGCGAGGGATGAGCCGTAAAGGACTGGGGGCTTACCTGTGGTCCGACGCGTTGAGGAGTGAGTTGTGTCTTCAGGGACTACAGAAGAGAGTGAACCCGACCCCTGTTAGGGGTCTGGCGCGTCGAGATAAGGGCCGCTCAGGTTGGGATATCTGCGTTGCGGCATGCGTGGGAGAGCAGCTGTGGAAAGGACAAAGTTACGAATTCAAATGGCAAAATGCGTACTGCTGGTCTGTCGCCGCTACCAGTCTACACTTGAGCGGCTGCTGCACAGTATCGGTTGCTGACGCATGGTTGTGTGTAAAGTTGCTGTGTTGTTGCTGGTTGCGACATAACAAGCCTACCTGCTGGCCAGTGTGCCATTCATCCGATCAGACTGTGGAGCTAGAGGCAGGCCACAGAGTTGCAGGCCTATGTGGTAGCTGGTATACCGCTGGTGCCGCGAACCAGCGCATGTAGGGGAGGCCAGACATGAGAGTGCAGACTTAGTTGGCAGGTGCTGCTACAAGGGTATGCGCTAGCCAAGCTTTACACTCCTTGCTCTCGTAGAGGCTCCTTGTGAGGTGAAAACACGAGGACTTGGAAATGTGATAGCAGCCGACACAAGGGGGGTGTCACCGCGAATTGAAGGGTCGTCAGGAGCTCGTCGCGCTACGTATCGGCCGGAGATTGGCTGTCCTATTACATTTTGGCCATCATTGTGGGGCCCTCAGGCGCATCAAGGCAACAAGGCCAGCTTGCGCAAGTCTGAGAGAACCCCTCTTGTATCTAAGAGTCTCAATGTTTCTCTTTTTGTCCTTCTGACTCTAAATCTAGTCCATTGGTTCTGAGAGGAAGGCGGCTCTAAATCTAGTCCATTGGTTCCACAAGTTTGGATGACTTGACTGCTGTGTTTTATTTTTCTAATTGCATTGAGAATTAGACAAGTTCCATAAGATTGGATGGTCTGATTGCTTTGACTTGGAAGGGTTTGACTGTGGTTGACTTTCAGGAACCAAGCATGCTCCATAAGATTGGATGGCTTGGTTGCCTTGTTTGATTGCGTTTTACTTTGTTTCATTGACTTCTGAGCGAGGAGGTCTGAGCAAGTTCCATAAGATTAGATGACTCAGCCTCTTTCTGCTTTTTTTCTGAGGGAGTAACTTTGGCTCGGGGGGGGGCGAGGCATGTTCCATAAGATTGGATGGCCTTGGACGCATACCACGCACAATTGAACCAGAGAAGAACGAACCTGGCAGAGGACGAGACATGTTCCATAATATTGGATGGTCTGGCTCAACGCCTCGCACACGCCGGAACCCAAAGGTTATAATTTGGCTATATTTTATTATTATCCTACTTAAGAACAGGCTAGTCAGGCAAGGGTTTCCTAAGATTGGATGACCTGACTATAACTTACCATAAATTTGAAGAGAGTATAACTAAGAGTATAAATAAAGGTAACTTTGGGCAGGCTGAGCTTTGTTTCTAAGATGAAGGGCTTAGTCCTACGCTCGGCTTTTGAACACTAAGTCCAGAGAGGTATATATAACTTGCGTATTAAATAGTTCAGGACGACTAAGCATTGTTTCTAAGATGAATGGCTTAGTCATGTGCTCAAGGGAAGAGAAAAGCAGTTGTGCAACCTGTTCGTGTATACTAAATGGCTGGGTCAGGCATGTTCCATAAGATTGGACGACCTGACTTTAAGCCTAATGTAAGCAAGGTATAAAGGGGCAAATCAGTGAAAAACTATGTACTATTGTCTGTTAAATTGACCTTGGGATGACGATAGTACTTATCTTTGTGGTTTGGCCTGCATGTGATTGAGTGAGGCTTCTACTTGGTCTGAGTTTCAGTTTCACAGGTAGTTGCTTTAGAGGCTCGCCACGTGCTAGAGCGATAGGAGTTAGTCTCAATTCCTGCATTTTCTGAGCTAAGTTTATTTT